CTCTGTACATCAATGAGTCATTCCTTTCCAAGTGACTTTCTCATGAAACAGTTGTACATCTCAGCTTTTAGTGAACTGCTTGATGCATGCTTATGCAGTGCTGAGAAGCGTTGCAGACTGAAATGGAATTTTAGCCATTGGGGATAATTTGTGAACATATACATGAATACGGTGAATCAGACCATTGGTCCACCAAGGTCAGTATTGTCTACTCAGACTGGCAGCCGTTTTTCAGGGGCTCATGCTGAGGTCTTTAACATCACCTGCTACCTGATCCCTTGAACTGGAGGTGCCAGGGATTGAACCTGGGCCCTTCTGCATACCAAGCAGATCCTCTACCACTGACCAACAGATGAAATTCTGGCTCAGTCAATGAAGTCAAAGCCAGACCCTCCCTGTGGTCACCCACCCTTCACTGTGTCTGAAATGGGGCACCTTCAAACAATGCCCAGTGGTACAATGGATGGTAGGCAAAGTGTTGGGTTTGGATATGGGATATCCGAGGTGAACAGAACAGATAAACAGAGGAAGCTGCCTCACACTGAATCAGACCCTTGGTCCATGAAGGTCAATATTGTCTACTCAGACTGGCAGCAGCTCTCCAGGGTCTCAGGTGGAGGTCTTTCACATCACCTACTACCTGATCCTTTTAGTTGGAGATGCCAGGTATTGAACCCAGGAACTTCTGCATGCCAAGCAGATGCTCTACCACTGAGCAACAGATGAAATTCCAGCGCAGTGAATGTAGTCAAAGCCAATCCTCAGCACATCAGCTGGCCTGCTTGCAATCATTCTATTCTCATATCAAGGATTATTCTTCATTCCGCATTGGTTCATCTCTCCCTGTTGTACATTGTCTTCATTTGCTCAGCAATGGCCAGTCCTGAGCTCTTCCAAAAGCCAAGAAGGCATTCATTTAAAGCTAGGAAAACCTACTTACCCTAAAATCTGTTCCCAGCATTTCAAAATGAGCCTCACCAGCATGCAAAATGGCAAGCTGCACATCCTGCATGGCACATAAATGTTCAGGCACATGCAGTTATATGTGCATGCATTTTAAACAGGATGCATCCAACACCACCACTCTTTTCCCTCGCCCCACCTGGGAAAGTTGGGGTTCAGCCATATGGTTTCCGCCAACAGGAAAATAACCTTTAATCGGCACCACAAGATGCTGCTGAAGGCAGGCGAAGGGATTGGCAGCCAAGTACACTATGCTCTGTCCCCTCCTGGTAAAAGATGCCGTTTGGCTAATTGGTCCCCGCTGCTCACAGAAGGGGAACTATATGCCCAACTCTCCCTGTGCTCAGCCAGTGTCCTGAAACACCAAATCCAATTAGCTCATCTTAAGAAGTAAAAGCTCTGCTCATAAAATTATCATTGCTGCCATAAAATTATCCATCCCTCTTCTCCAACTGTGCACAAGCACTTAACTCCCTGACCTGCCTGGCTCATTGAGTGCCGCGGGGATGACTGGAATACCAAACGACAACACCGAAAACTTTGCTCCGCCTTAGCGCAGAGCCCGGGGAAGGCAGCAAAGGAGGATCCAATGGGGCAGGAAGGCTCCTTGAGCTAAGAGCAAGGGCAGCCAGAGGGCGAACCACGAGGTCAGCATTTCAAAGGGCTTGACTCCAGGAGCTGGAATTGCTCACAGACAGCAACCCATGAGCTACCAAAGGAGTGTGACCCTCATCAATCAGAAATAGCTCACCCGCCCCTGGAGTCAAAGCAGCACCAACCATTTCGGTTTATGACTTCATTTCTGTCCTGACTTTTTCTTCCATCCTGGAACTCAACACATTGTATGCATTATTCCCCAGAGATCTCTCATCTGACTAAGGGAACTTTGATTCTTGTAAGGTTATACTCCAACGCTCTCTACATGGGGCTGCCTCTGTTGCAAATTCGGAAGCTGCAACTAGTGCAGAATGCTGCAGCCAGGCTGTTGATGGATCTCCCTAGACGAGAGTACATCCAGCCTGTGCTGAAAGCGCTGCACTGGTTGCCTATAGCGTTCCGGGTTCGCTTCAAAGTGCTGGTTATTACCTTTAAAGCCCTATATGGCCAGGGACCAGCCTACCTGAGGGACCGCCTTTCCCCACATGTGCCCCCAAGAGCACTACGGTCTGGGACCCAGCACCTATTGGATGTGCCAGGTCCCCGGGTTATCAAACTCACTACGACCAGGAATAGGGCGTTTTCGGTGGCGGCTCCTATCTGGTGGAATGAGCTCCCAGAGGAGATTAGGGCTCTGCGGGACCTAGCACAGTTCCGCAGAGCCTGCAAGATGGAGCTCTTCCACCAGGCGTTTGAATAGGAGCCGCCATCACTATGACACCATCTTCGCCCCAAGCTTTGGGGACAGGGTCATCACCATGTGGGTGCATTGGATAAGAACGGGACTTCTTAGGAGACGACCATCTTGCTTTGAACCAAAAACACTGTTTTGAATGTAAGATGTTTTAATATTTAATGTTATTTAATACTTTTAATGTTATCGTTTTATTATATGGTTCGGCGATATGCCGTGTAAGCTGCCCTGAGCCTACGGGGAGGGCGGGATAGAAATATAAATAATAAATAAAATTAATAAAATTCACATGAACACATGAAACTGCCTCATACAGAATCAGACCATCAGTCCATTAAGATCAGTATTGTCTACTCCAACTGGCAGTGGCTCTCCAGGGTCTCAGGGCAAGGTATTTTACATCACCTACTACAGCCTGGTCCATTTAACTGGAGATACCGGGGATTGAACCGGAGACCATCTGCGTGCCCAGCAGAGGCTTTACCACTGAGCCACAGCCCCTATCCTAATTGTTATTGGTCTATAAGGTGCTCCAGTGTGGTGCCATGGTTAGAGTGTCAGACCAAGCCTGGTAGAGACACAGATTCAAATTTCCCATTCTGTGACTTTTTGACCTACTACATAGGGTTGCTGTGAAGATAAAAATGGAAGAAGAGAATTATGTGTGTGTGACCCTGGGCTCCTTAGGGGAAGGGGCAGGTTACAAATACAGGCATGTACCTGACCACTCCTTTGAGCCTTCCACCAACTTATCTGGGTCTGCATTGGATAGAAAAGCTGCTTGCTTAAAGGAAGGCTCCTTAGGGTGGCGGAACGTTCTCCAGCTGAAGGTAGAGTACATGCTGATGTGTACATATCCAGACCTCCTTAGCTGCAGTACAGTGACTGCGTCCTGTGCCTTCTGACCATGCTCTGGTCTCATCCTGGCTGTTGTTGGATCCCATATTATTCTGTCCCCTCTCATCCTAACCAAAGTTAAGATCCAAAATTGCTGATCTTGATTAAAGATAAAATGAATTCGGTAAAATGAGTCAGATAAAATTAGATAAGATTCAGATACTCTGAGATTGTGCTCTGGTCTCATCCTGGCTGTTGTTGGAAGCAGTGTTATTCTGTCCCCTCTTATCCTAGCCAAAGTTAAGATCTGAAATTGCTGATCTGGATTAAAGATCAAATGAATTTGATTCAGATACTCTGAATCTAAGGATAAATTACAGTATTTTAACATGGATGTTAAGTTATTCAGGGCCAAACCACACATTACACTTTAGACAAGGGCCAGCCACTTTGAGTACCATATGGCTAAAAGACTAATAAATAAAAGAGTCATCTCCCATTATTACACTACTATACAACTAGTATGTAGTGGTATACTGCCTGTGAACATGGAGGTTTCATTGCACCAGCGAAATAAACACCAGGGATACACGGCCCATATGCAGTACTTGGTCTGACCCCAAAGGACATAGAACACAATTTGGAAAAAAAAAATCAGTTTATTTACAAAATAAGGCCACAAAACCTGTTAGTAGCTGAGCCATATCAGGTGTGATTAGTAGGACAGACATCCCAAAGGAAAGAAGCATTTGCAGTTATGTGGACAGCATGAATATGAAAAAAGACAAAAAAAGCAAAAAGGATTGCCCAAACCTTTTTGCAAGAATTATTTCCTTCTCCTGCTTTGTAGATTCTATTTTTTAAAAATAATAATAATAAAATCATCCCAAGCTGGCTGGAAACAGCAGCAAGGAGAATTCGGCCTCAATCAAAAGTGCCCTCCTAAATGCACAACCGTGTGCCGTAATTGTAAGTAGGAGATCAGAAACAGTGGGGCATTTTTTCCCCTTAGAAATGTCCTGGTAAGGAGCCAAGCCAGATGGTGGCACAGATCTATCTTGGGAAGGAAGCCAACAGCAAAATGCCCAAGGAACTTTCCTTCATTATCCCTGCACTCATCTCCACCTCCAAAAAAACAAAACAAAAAAATGTTCTGGACTCCTGTAAGAGATTTGATCTGCAGAAATCAGCAGGTGAATGGTGGCAAAGAGCAAATCTGGCTCACCTGCCAACTGCGTGCTGTACTGAATAGAATATCAAAGCAGGATCTGGAAGAACTGAGTTCAAATCCCTGCTAAGCCATGAAACTCACTGGGTGATCACGGGCCAGTTATCCTCTCTCCGCCTAACCTACCTCTCAAGGCTGTTGTGAAGATAAAATGGGGAAGGGAGAGCTGTGTACGCTGCCCTAACATTGGGATTAAAATGTACTAGACAGCTATGCAGTTCAGGGGACAGCTACAGTGGTGGGTTCAAAACATGGTAAGCCTAGATTACTCCGACAAGGGATGTCGGATGGCTGAGGAGAAAAAGCAGTCTGGAACCACTAAATATGCAACCGTCTGAAGCGGCCAGAAAGATAAGAATTGGCACATGGTGGTGGGGTGACATCCCTCACACAGCCTGAAAGCACATCCATGGCTCCTAGCAAGGAGGCTGCAGGAGAATACAGTACAGTCAACTGAGGTGAGCTGATTGAGGCCTAGATTTGTACAGCTATCCTGGCCAGCCGGCTTGCGTCACAGCACTCGAGTCGGATCTCAAAAGACTCTGGATGGTGAGGCATATGGGAGGCATCTGCTTGGTAGACTTTAGGTCTCCGTTCCTGTATAATGCCAGTTCTCAAGGACTACTTCCCAGCCCTTGTTTCTGAATGGTGGGTTTTCCCATCAGCTTCCTTGCCTCTTTTAGGAACGGCAAAGTCTCCTGACCCTGCATTCCGGGTGCTTGTGAGAGAGGCCTGGCTGGCACCAATGGCTCCGTCTCGGTAGCTGATCAAGTCAGACATGCAGGCACCTGAAAAGAAACAATCTGTTGTTAATAATGCCCGGGGGTGGTCCTAACCAGTCCTTTAAAAGGTTATTGTTTCAGCCCATTCACATCCCAGGGCATGGGACAGGAATTCTGGGCAAAGCCACAAGCCATTTTTTTGACAAGTCAGAAAAAAGGATCCTGCACATTTCCCCCTGCAGGCCTGCTTCCAGAGCACGCAAGGGCAGTTTCCCTAGAGCAGGGCTTTGTTTTCCAGTGACCAATGGGCTGCAGGTCCCATGTCTCCCCCCACCAATCCAAAACAATGTACTCTGCAGCAAGCAGACATTCCTTGGAGATAGAACTGACAGCCTTGTCAGTTAGAACTGTCTCTTGAGTGGCCCAAGTTTCTACCCGCTCCTTTAACACAGAGAAGAGTAGTGGGTGAAGTGTTTCTCACCTCTTATCTCCACAGGAGGAAAAACATCATCAGCTAAATCTCTGCATGTCAGGCTGTTGTTACAGGGGCAGGGCAATTCTAGTTCATGCTTTCTGATCTATTCCTTCCCCGCTACCTAACCTAAAGCACTGAAACAAGCGCAAGAAAAAAGCGATTGGACAGCACCCATAATGTTATCTTAGGAAACCTGCTCCCTCTCTTGCCAGCATGGTGCAGTGGTTAGAGTGTTGGACTAGGATCTGGGAGACCCAGGTTTGAATTCCCACCTGACCTACAGCGCAGGGTTGTTGAGAGGATACAATGGAGGAGAGGAGAACCACGGAAGCCGCTGTGGGTCTTCACTGGGAAGAGAGGTGGGGTATAGATTAAGTAAATAAACAACTAAAACAAAATATGGTTGTGTACGTTTTCAAACTTTGGTTTTACTTTCATATATTGCTGTTGTCATGAAGGGCAGGATCCAAACTGCTCCAGGTATCCCCTTCTGTGCTAGAATTGCCATTTCTTGTACTTGCCACGCGACCTTCACATTTCTAGACCATTCAGCTATAACAATTCAAGTCAATTCGCATCTCTCTTGCAGCTGTCACTGGCCGGGTGCCTTAATGGCCCGCCATTGGCTCCTATATCTTTAAATGGTGGTGTAAAAGAGAGAATCTGGCAGCTACAGCTTGCCATAGTCGGGTGGGGAAACTGCTGCACTTGTTAAAAATTCCTTTTCCTGTCATTAAAGTCATAAGAATTCTGCACTGGGTCACCATCAGTGGCTGATCCCCTCCTGTGCCGCAGACTGCTAAGAACAAAGATGAGCTCAGTCTAGGAACCTGCAGTACTACAAGATCTCAGTCTATGGTAGGGATGAGCATTCAGATATTAAATAATCAACAAGCTAACAGCCCTATTTGTTAATATAGTTATTATAAGTAATCCAAATCCAACTGCCAGTAGGATTTGGAAACTTCTGTAGCTATTCATTATTCTAGGGCCTGGCTGGCTGGTTTAGAGCTCCCAGAGGTCAAGGTGACACCACACTGGCAGAGATGACTTCCAATCAAAACATTAACACCAGTCTTGTCACCAAAGGGAATTGCCGAATAGGCTTGTCTTCCCAAAGTATGCCAATTCTGTGTCTTGGCACTCAGTCTCATATACTGGGAGAGTGCACGGTGTCCAATATTCTCAATACCTGACGGATGATATTTTTTGTGAATAGGGCAACGTACTCATTTTCCAAAGCTCAAAAATACACGTGTTGTCCTATTCACACAAAATGGTGAGCATGTGTATCGAGGGGATCATGCGTAGTGCCACTCTCCCAGTACCAGTGTTCCCTCTAAGCTGAGTTAGTGTGAGCTAGCTCACAGTTTTCTAGCCTCCGGCTCACACACTTTTGTTTTCGCTCAGGACGGAGGGCTCCAGAGCAAACTAATTTATGCAGTAGCCAAATCGCTCGCTCACAACTTTAATGCCAGTAGCTCACAAAGTAGAATTTTTGCTCACAAGACTCCACAGCTTAGAGGGAGCATTGCCCAGTACCCGAGCTGGCAGCACCAAAATGTGACACTCGAGCATTGCCCAGTACCCTTACAGAGAGGCAGCCATCCCTCTTTCAGTGTTCTGAACTAAAGTGGATGTGGCAGAGGGCAAGGGCCGCACTGGATCCTTCTATCCGATGGCGAGAGGCCATCGCTAATCGAACCTCTCTTTCCTGCTCACCGAGGCGCAAAGGTGTGGGAGGCCATCAAGGCTCCTGTCAGTCAGGCACAGCATTGGAAATCAATGGATCTCCCTCCCCCCTCTGCACTCTTGAAGCAGCCTGGAAGGGCTGAACTCACCATACGAGAGCCGTTTGCAGAACCCCAACAGGAGCAGAACGGAGGAATTAACCCCTTCCTTGGAGAGCTGGCCGCCTCCAGCAAAACCCACAAAAGAAACATGTTTGCTGGCGATGACCCAGACTCTCATGCACGAGGCACTCAGTCAGGCTGGCTCAGTGTGGCCAGCTGATGGCAGAGAGGGTACAAAACAGCAGCTGGGGGGCTGCTCCTGTGCCTCTGACGAAGCTGAAATCAGCAAGGAACAGAGTTGCCAACAGGCCTGGAGGAAAATGTCTTGCCGCTTGAATGAGGCTTAATGGGATGTTATTTAAGCTTCCACTGCCCATTTCTACACATTACGTTTCTATTAAAGGGACAGGACATTTTTCTCCTGGCCTGTTGACAACCCTAGCAGGGAAAGCTTTTCAGCAAGGAGCTAAACACTATTGCTTGTTTATTGCAGCGGATTAAGCTTCTGCTGAAGAGGTCGTACATACAGGATGGGGCTGTGGCTCAGAGGGAGAGAACATGCTGTCTATCCACGAGGTCCCAGGTTTAGTCCCCAGTATGTCCAGTTAAACTCAGTCTCATAAATAGTCGGCATTGGGAAGGACCATTTTCGGCCTGATGGAAGGGATGTTGCCATCAGAATAGATAATATGGAGCTAGATGGACCAATGGCCTAACTCAGCTGGCTGTTATACATTCAAAGTCAGTAGCCTCATCAGAGGAACAAAATATCAGACCAGTTCCAATTGACATGTTTCAGATAAGTGAGAGAATTTCAGCTTGCCAAGTGGAAGCACTGCAGAGGTTTCTTTTAAAAAGCTGCCCTTGGCAAAATCCTCTCCCAAATGCGCCGGAATCTCTGAGGTTGAGAGGTTAGCTGTCCCTACGGCTATGGGGTGATGGATGGCACTTTGCTATGTGCAAACAAAGCAAACCAAGAGAATATCGTTCAAACACTGGGTAGCATTGTTTATTATAAGCAGCAGCCACTTGCTAGGCAAAGGAAAGTCCTTTCTGCCACCTGCTGCTACTTGAGATCTTTCGACTGGCCTTGCCATAGATTGATCCTGACCCTTCTGCATGGAAACCCCTTTCCCAAATATCTGCCCTCTCTTCTCTCTGGCTAGGCTAGACACCTGTACTCGTCTTAGACTGAAGTGCTTTCTGCCCACCGCCAGCTCAGGTCTAAAAGGTCAGGACAGTTGGGTATGAGCATCTTCTTACTTGGAGCGTCTTTCCTTGGGTTAGCTTGATAGATTGGGAGTCCAGTGGAATGCAGGCTTCTGTATTCCCTATTGGAAGCCGACACCACAAAGCAGAATGCCAATCAGAATATTTATGGATGCTCTGGGTAACCAAGACAACTAGGCGGGGTGGAGGGAGCTGCAAAAGGATGCTGACTCTCTCCACGCCTGCTTCTTCAAGAACTGGACCAACGATTTGGTTCATTGTTCTTTCTCACTTCTGTGACATGACAAACTACCCCAGCCAAAAGCCCCTCTTCTATATGGACCACAGTCTGTCTGGGCCCCAAGACACTGGCTGTCTTGCAGCTATAAATTTAGCAAAATCTCAGCGGGTCCATAGTGATGAACAAAAATCTGCCAATCCCGCCCATCCCAATCGGCAGCTGGCTTTTCCCCTGAAGCACTTGCCCTTTGTCTCCTGCAAGGGAGGAGCGAGTTTCTGGGTCTCTCCTGGCTCTGCCTTTCCTTCTCCGAACTGTGGGGTGGCGCTCCAGTTCTCAGCCGGCTGCGTGTACTTGGCTTCCATCTCGTTCACCCAGTCTGTGCTCCACTCCCACACGGGAAGGGGCTGTGATCTAGGATTCAGCTGAGCACCCTTCAAGCTCTGTGTGGCGGCATGCGGACGCACGATTCCATTGGGAGGAGAACCGGAGGGCAAGAAGTCTGCAAGGGGAAAGAGGAAGTGCATCATTATCCCTTTAAGTGCACGCTGAGGTGGGCAACCGGAGGAGAAGACATCCCCCCTCCCCCGGGACATGAATGGAACAATGAAATGTACAGGCATAGTGTCAATAATGCATAGTAGTACCCTTACAGACTACCTTGTATACATTGTGCATCATCAGTCTCAGCCTCCCTCATCATATGAAGTCTACTCTTGATTAAAAGGTTGGGTCTTTCAGTAATATGCTACAGTGATTAAAACCAACACAATATTTGTACATGGTCAATTAGCACAGATCCAATCTCCTCCTCCTAGTATAAATCCAATCTCCTCCTCCTCCTCCATCATCTTGAAAGCTAAGCAAGGTTGGTCCTGGTTAGTACTTGAATGGGAGACCACTGAGGAAGTCCAGGGTTACTACACAGAGGCAGGTAATGGCAAACCACTTCTTTTCATTTCTTGCCTTGAAAACTCTATGAGAGGTGCCATAAATCAGCTGCAACTCGATGGCACTTTTCACCAGCATATCTTCTGCTGAGCAGCCTGATGCAGCAGTCAGAAGTTGAGCAGGTGTGCCTTTTCAAACACCTTTATAGTGATTGCTAAACAACAGCGCAGGGGCTACATTCTCTTATCACCCCTACACCACAAGGACAGAAATGAGTGCATTTGCTTCATACCACCTTCAAGGATCGCTGACGGCAAAACATTACTGCAAGCCAACACAAAAGCTCTCCTATACATTGGAACTGCTAAGGGTTTTTTAAGTGCTTTGCACACTTCTTAAGAAATGGGAAGTTTAGAGCTGAAGTTAAAGGTGAATAATAAGACCCACATCCCATTCCATACATATTCTGGCAATCTATATTACAAACATATGAAGTCATTTTCTTTCTTTCTTTCTTTCTTTCTTTCTTTCTTTCTTTCTTTCTTTCTTTCTTTCTTTCTTTCTTTCTTTCTTTCTTTCATCAGAGCAGCAGCGGGAGATTAAGGGATTTGCTACTTCAGGATCTCCATTTGTTTTGTTTTGCTTTTGAGCTACCATTCAAGCAGAAAGTTTTCTGGTGTACCACCAATGTAAGCCATCACCTTTGGCCCATGATGAAATGACAAAGCAACGGGAGCCAGACAGAGCCAGGCTGTTCCCTCCTTTAGTGTAACTCAGTCAAGACCCCAGAGATCTGTATTGTGTCCCCCCCCCAAGGCTAAAGGCATTCAGATGAAGGCCAGGGTGCTGGTAGGGGGAGGGGCTGTTAACTTACCTACCACTTTTCCAGAACATGATGATGTCTTGTAGAGAATTAGACTGCTAGTTTATTAAGGTCAGTCTCATCTACTGTAGCTGGCAGTGGCTCTTATAGTGTTTCAGGTAGAGGTCTTTAACATTGCCTAATACCTGAGTGGTTAAGTGCGCAAACTCTAATCTGGGAGAACCGGGTTTGATTCCCTACTCCTCCACTTGCACCTGGCTGGATGACCTTGGGCAAGCCATAGTTCTGATAAGAGCTGTTCTTGAAAAAGAGCAGTGTCTGTCAAGAGCTCTCTCAGCCCCACCTACCCCACAGGGTGTCTGTTGTGGGGAGGGGAAGGGAAAGGAGTTTGTAAGCAGCTCTGAGACTCCAACAGAAGGGCGGGGTATAGATCCAATCTCTTCTCTTCTTCTTCTTCTTCTGATCCTTTTAACTGGAGGCCCCGGGATCAAACATAGGACTTTCTGCCTACAAAGCAGACGCTCTGCCACTGAATCATGACACCTCCCCAATGCATAGTAAACTCATCCCAAATTGGTATTTTCCCTGTGGGAGATCTTAATCACTGGCCTTCCTGGTCAATTCAAGCTTGGCCTAGACTCTACCCCAAAGCACCCACTGTGCTATATTCTGGGGAAAAGAAAGGTTGATATATTTTTTGGAATTTTTGCATTTGTGTGTGCGTGTGCACGTGCCCATGCCTGGAAGTCATGCTGACCTCTAGCAACTCCTACTGGGGCATGGAGGACATTCAAAGAAGTAGCTTGATAGACTGCCTCTGCCTCCCGGCCCTGGTATTCTTTGGAAGTCTCCAATCCAAATACTTGCCCTTCTTAGCTTCCAAGATCTAACGAGATCGGGATTGCTTGAGCTATCCAGGCTATCCAGGTCAGGGCAAGAAAGGCTGAATTTTGAAGACAAATCTGAGTAGGTTTCAAATGTCAACTCAACTCGGCAATCTCCCTTTCAGTCTTGAACTCCTGCACTTTCTCTCTCATTATATGGGGCTAAATAATACTGGTCTACCTTACATGGTTGTTGTGAAAACTACAGAGATAATGCCCATGAAAGAAAGGGTTATAGTAAATATTTTTATATATATAGAATTTTTTATTGCTTTTCACTATGAACTACAAATCTACACACTACAAATTCAGAGTAGCAAGGTACAGTAATGATCTATCTTGCGCTTTGGATGTTTCCCTACATATTCATGATAGCAATATATCATTTGGTTTCTAAGTAATAAGTATTCAAATAGGACCCGGGGCAGTTACTCCAGGAGAGCAGAGCAGAGCAGGAGGTGGCTGCCAGGGCTGTCCTTTTCGAACCCTCCTTCCTCCCCCCACAGCCACAACAGCCACACCTGTGCCTGGAGGCCCTCTGCCCGCGTGGGAGCAGGAGATGCTTTAGGAAGGTGTCAAAGAGAGACGTTCAGAAACAGGACCGTGCTGCAGCAAGAGGTGGGCGAAGGGCTCTGCCCCTTCAGCCAAGGGGAGGCTGTATAACAGGCACTGGGGTGTGTGGTGCCCTGTTCTTCAGCAGCGCCAAGCCGGGCAACCACGGGCAGCTCCTCAAGTTGTTGAGGTTGTGCGGGTGACCATAACCCACTCAGAGCAGGTATCCCTCCAAGGCAGTCCTGAGACTGTGGAGGTAGTTCTGGTCAGCACTGGGGCCACGGGTGGATGCCTGACCATGCCGTCCCCTGATGCCGGCCAGTGCTGAAGGCACATTATTGTCCAAAAGAGATCCCTTTGATCTCTATTCCTGTGTGTCTGAAACAAATGGCTAAATAATTATGTGCCCTTCAGCCCGGGATTAAAATTCTGCTCAGGCAATTTAAATTCTGAGCCAAGAACAGCGAACTGTAGACACTGTGCAAATTGATTTAATCAACATAATTTTGCATAATATTAAAAGGATTTCCCATGATTTCTTCTGCTACTTTTGTGTGTTATGAGGAGCAGCAAGGACTCGTGTAGGGCCCTGATGCCCCACTCCCACCGCAGCCATCCAGCCACCCTGCTGGCTTTAGAGATCTGAGCAAGCCATAAGGGGCAGACATTGGCTTTAGTCTTAAAATGGAAACTGGAATATATAGCAGGCTGAATTCTGTGTCAGATATCAGATCCGGCACAAACGGAGCCTTGCCTGGAACGCTGCACTGGGGTGAATGCAGCTTTGCTGTTTGAAAAGCAGTGTGGTACAGCAGCTAGAAGTCTCTCCTGTCGTCTGCATCTGGTTCTCCAGCTCTCACAGTTCAATAGAGGATCTAGCCATGCCGGTCCATGCATTTGTGACCTTTTTGGTTTGGACTACTGTAAGTTTGCTGTACGGTGGGCTGTCCTAGCAAACGACCCGGAAACCTCAGTGGCTGCAGAATGCAGTGGCCCAGTTGTTGTCAAGAGATAACCAAAGGTAACATCCCTTGCCTAATTTAAACCAGCTGCCATTTTGTTTCCAAGTTCAATTCAAAGTACTTGTTATGACCATTAGCCCTTCACAGCTTCGGGTCCACATATCTCAAGGACCATCCCTTCTCATATGTCCCTGTGCAGCAATTATGGTCCTGCTAGTTTCTCCCCCATTCAGAGAAGTCTGCCTGCCATCAACCAGAACACAAGCCTTTTCTATAGTAGCTCCCATCCTATGGAAGGAGATGACTGTGAGGGAACACTGCCCCTAGAGGTGTTTAGGTGGCACTGCCAGGCCATTCTAAGGCTTTTAATGGACTGTACGACTGAACAACAAAAAGTCTTTGGGCATTTGGAGGATGAGGGGATTATGTGGAAGCTGTATTGCATTTTGTATGTTTTAAATATAAAGTTGTAAGCCATCTTGAGCTATGGGAACACGCAGGTCTGTTTTCATTATCTATGTTTAATGCTGGATTTTAGTATCTTTTAATGTTTTGCTTTTATTTGTTTTACTTTGTAAGCCATCTCAGGCAGGTTCATGGAGAGGCAGCCTTAAAATATTCTAAACAAACAAACAGATAAATACAACATTTAAACAAACCAACCAAAAAAGGAAAGCATCTGCCTGCCAAGACTCAGCAAATGGAAGACAAGCAACAAATTTTAAAAAGCAAATAACATTTATTTATTATTTTTTAAATTAGATCTATATACTGCCCTCCCCAGATGGGCTCAGGGCTACTCAAATACTAATCATATGCAACCGAGTACAGATTTAACACTCAGAGCACACAAAACTAAACAGAAGAGGAAAGAGTCGTGACTGACCTGGAAAAACTGGAGCTGCTTTTCTAAACCCCAGAAAAATGGATGCTTCACCACGCAGTTGGCTGAAGGCCGCTTCTGAGGATCTGTACTTATCATTTGCTCTATTAAGTCACGAGCAACTATGTCCTCTGTAAGGGGGGGGGGGAGAAAGCAGAAAAAGCAGCATGCTTACTCCCAGGCTACATAAAATTATGAATTATTTTGATACCTTTGAGTAAATCAGGTTGCCAAATGTTTTGAGTTACTGACATACACAGAAGCCCAAAAGTTGAACATATCAAACTGTGCTTTGGATCAAACTCCATAGCTTTGCATAGAAAAGCAATCAGGATGTTCCCTTGCTTCTTTCCCGAAGGCATGTCTGATTGTTCTTGATTGCTATGGGTAATATTTTCTTGTACTTTAAAAATTATTATTATTATTATTATCATCATTATTATTATTTATTAGATTTCTGAATCACAGCTATCAGGATGTTCCCTTGCTTCTTTCCCGAAGGCATGTCTGATTGTTCTTGAATGCTATGGGTAATATTTTCTTGTACTTTAAAAATTATTATTATTATTATTATCATTATTATTATTATTTATTAGATTTCTGAATCACACAGGGTTTTGGGCAATTTTACAACAGATTAAAACATACAAAAATACAGATTAAAATTAACAAACAGTTTATCTTAATTTCACAATCTCCAGATGGCATCTATAATTTAATTTAAAAACTTCCTCTGGACTGTTCTTCTTCCATCTCACAGGCCGAAGCGATAGAAGGTAGGAGGTAAAGAGGAGGTTCTTGGTATAAATATATACAAAATGTAACTTTGCAAGCAAGAAACTTTTATGTCTAGGGCAAAAATGCATTAAGGCTTGGACAAAACAGAAATGGATGACTGTATTTGCCAATGGCGGGGGAAAAAATCCACTTGCTTACCATGCTTCTCTGGATCCAGGCAGTCCAGGCTGTAGGCACTCAGCAAAATATTGGCTTGCCGCTGCAGGGATTTGCCAAATGGGTGGTTGCCTTCCGATATCACATAATAGAAGACACATCCCGCTGAAAAAATATCTACTGTATGTGTCTGGGAAGAGAAGCATTTGTAAAGAAAGTTTACCGTAGCATAGTGGGGGCAAGAAGGAAAAAAATATTTTAAAATCCAAAGTGGAAGAACAATGAAAGTCTTATTAAAAATCCAGGGCGTACATATTTTAAAGGCCAACTTGCTCCTCTGCAGTGAACCTCTCAAAATAAGGAATGCCATCAGCACAATCTGAAGTGCTCCTTAAAAGTACAGAGCACTAGGCTTAAAATAAGTAAATATTAGAATTTATCTTAATTTCAAAATATATATAACACGTTGGTTGCAATAACTGAAATAACGTTTGACTGTTAAGCCCCTTTTCCTTCTTTGGTAGCTGCTTTACACACACGCACACACACGCACGCACACACACACACACGCACCCTGCTCCCCCCAGTGGTGCTGCCAGACTTACCACAGCGTCTCCCTCATTGTCTCTGCTACTGTCTCTGGGGCCACCACAGCTCCTGGCTACCCCCCCCCATCACTGCTGGGCCTGGCATGTCTCCTGGCCTCACTGCTGGGACAGCTGCAGCTTCTTCTCCCCTCTATTGCCACTGCCAATCCCTGGGCCACCGTCGCTCCAGGTCAAAAAACCCCCCCCCCAATTATTGACAATGCATGGAGGTGGTGGTACGTGCATTCTCTGTGCATGTGCAGACAAGGCTGTTTTATTTTGTGGGGAATTTAAACCCTCCAATGTATTTTTTCCCCAGATTCTTCTGCAAACTTAGCGGATCCCAACAAATTGCAGGAAAATCTGTTTAGTGTCAATGTGGCCTTGATCAGCAGATTTAGATATCCACAGATGGGAGCCACACTTCACATATGATATATAACACGTCATCCATGGGCAGCTTCACTAGGGCTGGGATGATTAAATCCCTTCTGTCACTCTCACTGGGTACTGGCTAAATACTTCCACAGAAGCCCATATGTGCCCCGTTGGCAACCCTGGGGCTGCATTCCTGGCCAGCCCGTTAAGGCTGATCACAACCCACAGAACAGCAAGAGAATGGGGGGGGGGGCACAGGTGTTCCTGGTGGGCTCCTTGGGGAGTCCCAATAGGTGCAACTGTGCCTACTCCCCATTCTCTACTGTTCTGTGGGGTGCTATCAGCCTTAAAGGGACTGGCCTGGAGTGCGGCTCCAGGGCCCCAGTGGCCTGAAGATCGACTGCAGCACAGAGGCAGGCTCTCATCTAACAAGTAAGTCTGAGCCTGCGTGGACATTTCCTATGTGCAGCAGACAGTTGTGTTGTGAGCCACTAAGTGTTTATCACCAATCGGAAATAATGGCCATTATGGAATACTGTTCCGATATTTCCAGAACAACTTCCCAATTCGATAACAATAGTACTTACGATATTTAACTTTAATGATCGGTATGCCGTTCCCAACTTCCCGATAAAGAATTAAAATGATTGTTTTGCTGAAGCACCCTCCTAGCCAAGACCTGCTTCAGATCATACCCCAAGTTACCTCCCCAAGAGCAAGTAATGAATCAAAAAGCCCCAAGAGATGCAGTTTACTTACTGGATTTTCTTTGCGGTCCTCACTCAGTATCTCTGGAGCTATCCAGCCTTCGGTGCCCGGCACTCCAGACTGACGGCTGAAGCTGTGCCTGCCCACCGCAAGCTTCTTACACAGGCCAAAGTCTGAGATCATGGCTTTGACTTTACCGTGGGCATTAGGCATAGAAATGAGGATATTATGGGGCTTCAGATCTCTGTGGACTAATACAAAGACAATTGTGAGCCCCTAAGAAGTTAGCAAAGCAATTTTATCGCTTGAATAGGTCTATCTTAATTCATTAATATTGCACTACAAACAATAGGATCATGAATAAATAAATCTGTGGTGTTACAACAGGACAAGGTAGGTGATTTCCATATATATATATTTGGGTCTTCTTTGGCCTCCCAATTGCAGTGGATTATTTCTGACCTTCCACACAGCATCGTTGCACATTCACTGTGTTGCCATGGTTTCCCCTGTGTTCTCAAACCACTTTTGATCCCATGTGTTCCTGCTGGCATGCCGCTGAAGTGCAAGGTATGCTGTGCTTCAAAAGGGGCCACCCAGAGCCCTGACCTGGATAGCCCAGGTGAGCCTGATCTCGTCAGATCTCAGAAGCTAAGCGGGGCCGACCCTGGCAAGTACCTGAAAGGGCGACCACAAGGGAATACCAGGGCTCAAGACGCAGAGACAAGCAGTAGTAAGCCACCTCTCTGAAATGTCCATGCCCTGCTAGGGATTGCCAGAAGTCACCATGACTTTCAGGCACACAAGATCATACACATGCAAACACTACCAAAAAAAGGGGGGGCACCCCACTGTGGCGCTATTGTCCCTGCCTTGTTCTTCCACAGCTGCCATTTCCTTACTTGTGCCACCAGGGGGCTTGGTCAGGTTCTTTTTAGAACAAAACCGGCAATAGCTAGATCACTAGATCAGTATAATGCTATAATGATATAGCTAATAAGGCTAGGAAAACTGCGGAGAAACCAACCACCAGGAAGTCCTGTTGGCACTGTGCTGAAGTGGTGGGCCCAACAGGAAAACTACAGGAGATCATTTCCTTGTGGGAGATACTGCAGTCGCTATTTCCCTCACCGACCAAAGATTCCTCAGTTTTCTGAGAAAAATTTCCTGAGCTGCATATATGTTCCACAAGAGGAAATGTTGCTATAATGTACCAGATAATGTGTGTTCTAGCTCATCAGTGCTACGTACCACTAAGTGGTGAGCTAGACTGTGTTTTAAGGCAAGAGATGTTTCAGAGGTGGTTTGCCATTGCCTGCCTCTGCATCATAACCCTGGTATTCCTTGAAGGTCGCCCATCCAAATACTAGCCAGGGCCAACCCTGCTTAGCTTCCAAGATCTGATGGGATTGGGCTAGCCTGGGCTATCCAGGTCAGGATTAGAAAAGTGCATGGAAGACAGGAGGATAAGTCCAGCAATGACTTCTAGCCATGGTCACCAAAAGGAACCTCCCTATTTAATGTCAAGAAAACCTCTGAATACCAGTCCTAGCAGCAACACCTAGCAGGCCTTGGCCTGTTCGTTGGGCCTTTAGGTCATGGGCACTGTGTGAAACTGGATGCTGGACTAGATGGATCACTGGTCTGATTCAAAAGGCTATTCTTAGAGTTGGAAAGGCTCCAGAATTCACAACGCACAACTTTCTGCAGTGAGGTGGGAAATCCAAGAAGATTCCAAACTATTTTTAGAATGTCATTGTTACCTCATTCTCATCATAGGGAGGGCGAGAAGGCCGCTTACTACCCTTGTATATTTTGGATGGATTGTGCTATAGTTTATGGCTGTGCTTCCGTAGTTAGTAAAATATACCACTACCCACCCAATAAAGCAGAATATTTTATAATCCTCCGAACCTGAAAGGGCCGGTATGTTTTGACTGGTAAAAAGTTGTTCTTGGACTAGGGAGGCCTGTGTTCAAAATCCAGCTCAGCTACGGTATGATTTAATGTGGGTAACTTACTGAAGTTATACACAATTCTAAGGATAATTTTATAAACTTATTCCCCTCCCCCCACCCGGAAATACAGCCACCCGAGAATTGGATATTAAAATACAACTGCTTCTTACCAATATTGAGAGAGTGGAGATAAGCAAGACCGGACATGGTCTGTTGCAAAACGGTGATAGGCTGCAAACTATGGTGACTGAAGTCCTTTTGCTCCACATACTAGAACACACACAAAACAAAGTGAATTTAAAATGTGGCAACCCAGGACTCTACATATACTTCAAATGTACTGCATATGCTTAAGGTGATGCGAAAGGTTTGGAATGATATAGAATCAGGAATATATAAAAACCACTCTTTAGTCATAAATTCATGGGGGTAGCGATATGTCATGCCTCTATAGTTATTTTACTGCTGGAGATCCACTGCTATTTAGTTCCAAACTAGACGTTACATTTTTTACCTTTTAAAGGGGCACGTTTAGCCCCCCCCTTAGTGTAGGAGAGGCTGAAGCCCCTCCTCCCTCTGTACTATGGTCTCAATCTGAACGGGACCCCTTGAGAACTTAGTTCCCGACAGCTGCTGTCAGACTGAAGGAAAAGTGATTTGGGTTGGTGGAACCCAGATGTGAATCATTAAAACATGCAATGTCTAGTTTGGTCCTTACTGCGGTTAGAATACAGAACAAAAACTGCTATCTAAAGATGATCATGACTCCTCTACAGCACAACCAAGACATTACTTAGCTTGAAACTTTCACCCTCTGAACTGCCAAGTCTCCCGCTGTCAGAGCTCACACAATGTGCCTATAACCCAGAGCTTACCTCCTGTAAAGTGGCAGCACAGAGCTCAAGGGCTATGTACTGGAACTGACGGTCCTTCTCCGTGCAGAAGTAGCGGATCACGTTCGGATGTTCGTCGGATTCTCGCAACAGCTGCACCTCTCTGTCAGCAAAGCTGAAGCATTCGGGGAGAATTCTCTTCACAGCTACTGCTCGGTTATCAAATGTCCCCCTGGAGATGTGCCAACACACAGCAGAGAAACCCCTTAACCGTTAATCATATCGCTCAACTAGGTCCTGGCTTGTACTAGCCATTTCTCATATTGCCATGCTTGAAGATGAGCTCTGATCTACACATACAGGCATGGAAAAGAAACTCATAGTACTTTGAGCACACTTTGAGTTCTCTCTCTTAAAACGGAAATATTTTTTTTTAAATGCAAAGAGCATATACCAGACTGTAGCTCATTGATATGTTTTATGTAGGAATACATAACTACTAGGAAAGATATCTCAAAGTGCTTCCACAATTTGCTGCAAGCCAGTTTTTAACATCAGTCTGGCAACAGCTTCATATTTAAAGAGACTTCAGTTTAGTTTGGATAGAGCAACAAATTGGGTATATTGACTGGGAAACTGACATGAGAGGTCCTACCCATCTGTGAAACCACTGGAAAGACAATATGATCAGAAGCATGCCTTTTCTAACACAGAAATAAAAAGCAACATGAGAAGCAGCCCCTAGAAGAGTGGCAAACCCCCCGTATCTCAAAGAACAGCCCCCAGAACCCAATGTGTGCTGGCACGAAGAAGGTAAGATGTACACTAGAATCAGAAGTAATGGACCATCAGATATAAATGCAGCTGCAAGCCACAGTTGTGCAGGGGGGTGGCAGTATAAACTGTCTCCAGAGATATAAGTGAAAAATGTTTTCACACCACATTTTAATCTCATATCAAAATAATTTCTAAAAACAGTCTCATATTTATGGAAGCTCGAGTCTTCTATCAAGGATGTTCATTTCCATCAAGGACAAGCTTTTGAACTGTATGTTACAACTAAAAAGTAAGTAGGCAAAAATTCCCATTAAACCAAAAATCTTCCAAACCTAGAAATCAATGTGTGCATTGAAAAGGACAGCATGGTATATGCCTGTGTCTGTTAGTGCTGGCTATTTGTTTTGTATGGATCTTAATATAGTAAACTGCATTGAGTATTTATTTTTAAACAGAAAAGCAGGACCACAATCCAGAAAATATATGGTTTAAGGCTTGAAGATGTATTTCAGGGTAAATCCACAGTACAAACTGAAAGTCTTTTCTGGGAAGTGGGGAAAGTGGGGAAGATCTGCAGTCCTTGCGCAAACCGATTGCTGGATCCGCCCCATGGATGTTACATGGTTAAAGAGAGAATGAAGGGAAGGTGTCTCCCCAAAGAATACACACCAAAAGAGTGCACTCTCTTTTCTCTGCATGAAAATGTTGCTAGTTCTAGTATTTATCACAAGCACATCACTAACAGAAAGAGATTATTAGCTATATGTTGCCTCTGAAGTACAGAAAGAACGTTGGGCACTTTACCTATAAACAATTGTTCCCTCAGCTCCATGTCCGAGCATGTCTTTCGGGTGGAATGAAATCTTTCCAACTGTTATGACACCTGTATCTCCATCTGAGCAGCAACAGAAGAAAAATATATATATCCGTTGCACCAATCATATAATATCTTTGGGTACATACTTCAGTTGGCATTTAGACATTCAGCACCAAATATGCAGCTTTAAAAGATTTCTTTTAATGCAGACAGGCAGACCTAGGAATGCAAGTTCCATCTTTGAAACAGGTTCCAATAGCCTACTACGGCTGCGGTCACATGGAACATTAGCCACGCCAGAGAGATGGAAGATAGGCGGATTTTCCGGGCGCGATCTCACCGGTACTTCTGGGAAGCATAGCGCTCCCGTGGCTCAACCGAGGCTTCCCGCCGAAGACACGCGGCAAAAAACTAGTACCTCAGAGGTACTAGTTTCTGGAAACCGCAGGGCAAGGGCGGGCGTCTGATCGCGTTTCCGGTGGCATCTGGCGCCCGCCCATGTCCCCTCGCAAAAAGCTTTCCCCCCCAAGTCTCCATGGATGCGCACAAGCACCCAACGGAGCATGCGCATACTTCAATGTACAGGG